ATGAGGGAAACAAAACTCCAAGTTTATTGTCTCATTGCTTCTTGTTCATTTGAGTATCCTCCCTTTACCCAAGGCTAATAATACTCCTCTAAAAGCTCTAATGTCATTGAGAAGGGAAAAAATCCCCCAGGAGAGCAATTCAGAGAAGTTAAATTTAGCTCTGGCTCTGGCTCTTGTTTGCCATTTTGAGGGAATCTCTCTCTTCTCTGCTGACTGCAGATGGAGTCCATGGAAAGGCAGTGGCCACCCTAGGCAAAAGTCAGTTTGTAGAAAAACCTTCCTCTGTGTATGTGTGGCTCTCTAAAGGCTTGCACACCACCATCCAAGGGAACTGTTCTTTTTAACTACTTTTGCCTAAGGGCTTCAGATTTTCAACTAAGATTAAGGATTTCTGGTGTTTGATCATGTTGGTTTTGCCATTGAAAATGCTTCAATGTTGTTGATAAATTATTTTCTGTAACAGGGAGAGTGCTCCTCATGAAAACCAGAGTTCCTTCACTCCAACAGATATATAATTTTTGTTTATTTTAGTGGTTTGGATACGTATTAGTACCTTGTTTCTCTCTCTGTAGTCTTAGTGATTTAGTTCCAGGTTTGCCAGGGAACAGTCTTGGATATGAGTATAGGAAAATGCAATGCAAATCAGAGCTAGCACTGTTGTCTACATGACTTTCAGTAAAGGACCCTTGGCAAGTAGGTACTAAACAAATGTATTAATATGACAGGACCTGTTTCTTTGGGTTTGTGTTCTGAAAGACAAGGTGAAATATGAAATTCAGCAAGCAGGTGGGATGAAGTAAATTATTTGTAGCAAGCCCCAGATGAAATAATAGCTCAAATCCATGAAAATCAATAGCAATGCACAAGGCCTTTGAGAGACCAAATTCTCACTGAAAACTTCTTAAATTCTGTTTCTTTATTTGAGAGCTTCTATTCTGAGTGCACTTTCAACCATATCACTAAAAGCCTTCCTGTTACACAGCAAGGAGTCATCTCATTTTGACAGACTCTGCCTATTTGCCTATTATTTCTTCTGGGTGAGTTAGTTCTGTTTGGTAGGATTGACTATTATCAGAAAAAATTTTAAATTGTGGTAAAGGCAATTTTTACTTCTTTCTGATATTTATATTTAAAACCAAGGAACTATTACAGTAATAAAGAATTTTTTAGCTTTGTATTTTATCCTACATATGCCACATGTTTCTGAAGTGGAATGCAGGCTCCTTCTTTCCATATTATAGCTGTTATTAATGCCTTTCACTGCAACAGTCTTTATCAACACAATTTTTTATGTTCTCACAATCTTTCTAGATTTATGTTCTCACAATCTTTCTAGATTCAAAGTTGTATTGATGTTTGATCAGGTCTTTTGTCAAGGAGCAAGAGATCTCAGGACTGTAAGTATTTATGAAGTGTTCATGTCTTTAATATGTTTCAGATTATTAATATTAATAGCTCTGGTGCAGTAGAGACCATGTGGAGGTGGCTCACACTCTGTGCAGGAATAAGATGGGGACATGGCTCTGACTTATCCCTTCCAGTCACTGTGCCAAACTTCCAATCAGTCTGAAAGGAAAGAAGAATATCTTCTCTTTAGTTCTTCAGCACTGCTTTTATTGCTTGTAATGAAAGCTAAGTAAAGATAATGACTGTGTACTATCAAAGTAAGTTTCCTCAATAGATATTTAGACTCCTGAAAAATATTATCAATTTTTTGTAGATCCTCACTTCTTTTCAAAGGTATCAGTTGTTACAGACCCTTATTTAGGGTAACTAAATCTTTAGCCTGCATTTGTATACACTGCCTTAGTTAGTTTCACAAAATGCAAATGGAGTGGGAGTGCTTGTGTTTGTGTATTGTCCATTTAGTAAGTAGGTCATGCCAGTGGCATGCAATTGTGCTTATCAACCCTGTGGCAGTGCAAAGGCTCCCTGCTGCTGTGTTAATACTGAAGCAAAGCCAAGGGAGCTTATTTTCAAAGACAGACAAATGCTAATCCCACAATGACACCATTTTATTAAATTGTCAAGATGTCTGTGCCTTCTTCATGTGACATAAGTGGATGGGTATGGACAGCTGGGTGTCCCTGCTCAGACCTTAGTGGACGTGAGGCAGGTGTGGCCTGGAAGCTGCAGCTGGTAGCATGTTGCTCAGAGCTTTGACTTAGGAAATAACCTCTCCTGAGGTTACTCTGTCACATTAACCAGTGTCCTGCACCACCTCAGAGGCTTCCAGGCTGAGCTGAACCCTCTCCAGCCAGCTCAAGCATGAGCAGCTCAGGCACACATCTTGTCTCTGTAGACACACCTTGAGTAACTAAATGACCACTGGAAGACTGCAAGTGCAAGTATTTGACAATTTTTGCCTTCTGTCACTGTCCACAGTATCCTGCTCAGCTCGGATAGCAGGGAAATATTCTAGTTTGCCTAAAACCAATCAGTTAGAGAGAGATGCTTGCATCCCTGTGGGTTTTCTTTTTTTAAGAATGCAACCAGGAGTCACAGGCATGGTTTAGCAGTCCACTGTATTAAAAATGAACACAGCAGAAGTTCCTTTGCTGACTTTGATGTTGTGATTTTGAGTGAGTAGAGCTGTGATCTGAGCAGCTGGTCCAGATGTGACTTGAATTCTGTCTACAAACTTCCCATTTTTGAAAACAAAAGTATTTGAATACATCAGAGTTTTTCACATACTGAAAAGCTATTTTGCTAAATTCTGGAATATGAGCTTAGTTTTAGTCCCATTTAATTTTGATATAAATAGACCATTTACATATTCAAAAAAGATTCCATTTAGTAAAACCCAATTATTGTGGGTGAAAGAAATATGGGGTAATGATTTATTGCATTTACTGCTAGATAAAAATATCTTCATACTGTATAATAAAAACATCACTGCTTTGTGCCTAGTTAAGATGTGAAAAAGCCACCGTACTGTTTAAAGCACATCAAAAGCAAAGAGACATTATAGGTCAGAAACTCTACAAGACTGGAGAAACTTTTTTATTGAAGACAAAACAATTTATATATTTTCATCACATTGAAACTACTGAGCTTATAAAAATCAAATGTTTTAAATTCTAAATTAGAAAGAGGTACAGAACAGGCTGATTGTTGCCTGCAGAAAATCTTCCAGACTGTTTTCTGACATTCTAAATATAAAATATGCCATATGAGAAATGTCTGTTTCATTCTGAAGCCTGTGATGAATGTTCGCCAGGAACCATTGACCATTGCCTCATCTCAAGGGGAATCAAATTGGAAGTTTCACAGAGAAAGCAAAGACAGACCTCTGGAGTTCAGTATTTAATCTAAGTTCCTTGTACACCTTTCATCTTGCCTGAGCAGATAAAGCAATTTTTTTTTCACAGTTTGGTGAAAAATGACCACTGTCAGCTGTACAGTGAGTCTGTAAATGTGGAAATATAATTGTTGGGAAACAAGGACAGTGGACTGTTACGAAAGTTGTCCACCCTTATTTTTTTCCATTCCTTCCTTTTCATTCCACCCTTTTTTTGTTCCATGCAAAAACTGTGAAAAAAACACCCCAACTCTTTATTTTAAAGGCATTCTGTCTCCTGAAAATGTTTTATTGAGACCTGTCTCTTTTCCTGAGTCTTTTGCAATAGGAATTTCATATAGAAGTTGAAGCTCTGTTGTTAAAATTCCAGAACACAACACTGGCATGGAAAGGACAGATAGATACAAGAGTCCATAAACATCCCAAATTTATAGACTGTTTAGCTGTAAAACACACACACACTGTCTTAAGGTATTTTGAATACTACATTATACAAAGATAATTGAACTGGAATAACAAATTGAATGAAACATTCCTAAGCATGGAAACATAAAATCCTGTGAGATTTAATTCACAGTCTGCATGAAAGTTAAAGAACAATAACAGACAAAGCAACATCTAAATGTGTGACACTTTTGCAGATTTGTGACCTGCCACTCATACTAATATTAAATGTGCAAATTTGTTAGCATTTTCTCATACATTTCCTGTTCTTTTCAGAAACTTCTGGGTTTATTGCTGGCTACTGCTCATGCTTAATTTGTGTGAAAACTCTCTTTCTTCCTCACAGAAAAACTAAAACATGGGAATTTCAATTTAAAAGGTCAAGTCAGTATTTGTTGCTTTTTAACTACAGCTTTCTATTGTAAATTGTTGCTGAGAAATTAATTGGAAAGAGCCAAGAGGGTATTCTTCATGACATTATTCCAGGGCGTAGTTTTCAAGCTGTTTCCTACAGAGACAGAAACACATTACAAGTTCTGTCCACATGTAAGATAGCATGCACTGGGGCATAATGATAAGCAGATGGCACTATTTGCAGTGGAAGTAATAGCAACCAGAAGCATTTCTGCCTACATTATTTTGCAAATGTTTTTATATTATGCTGTGTTAAAGTCTGGAACTTTATGTGCTTTCCCTTTCTAAAGCATAGGTATTGATAGCAATTGATGAGATAGCTGGTGGTTATAAGTAAACAGAGTAGTTATTGAGAAGTAGGTGGTATTTAAAAAAACCACAACCACAGCAATCACTAGAAAAAGACAGAACAAGATAGAACAAATACTAGTGAAATGTTCCAAAAAATGGAGGAAAGATGAAATTGGATGATTTGATGGTCTTGTGATTAAAGATGTTGTTTCGTAAAGTCTTTATATGAATACGCCATTCAGAAAATCTGAAGTTTCTAACTTTTATTGCCAATAATATTGCCTAATTTACCACCACCATCTGGATGGCAATTATTGCTGGAAGTAATGCATCCAAGGCAGATTATTTCAGAGAATGACTCTATAGTTCATGGGTGCATTGTGAGATAGAATGTATTAGGGAGATTCCCAGGCTAGAGGAGACCTCAAATACACATGTGCACACATGATTATATGCAGGTGTGTGGATAGATACACAATATGTCTCTACATGTGCACCTATACATAATAGTATAGAATTGAGTCTTATGCCATTCCACTACGATAAGGAATTGCCAGGTTAGTCCAGTGTTTTCCTCTTGAGACTTAAAAATCTCTGTGTTTGAAAAAAAAAATCTATTTACAATATTATTTAAATACTTTCATTTGCAAAGGTATTTTGTATTAACTTGGAGTTATATTTCCTCTAGATATATGTCCTCGTGGCCTTCTTCACTTGGAGCTAGATTGTAACATTTTTAGTGTGACCAATACATTGAAAGAGATGGTGCAGAAGGGACTTACATCTGTAGGGACTTAAATCCCCCCAAAGGGATTTAGCCTCCAAAGGGCCATATGCAACAGTGACAGTACCTGCTGGAAGACTGCAACATGTCCTCCCTCTGGCACAGGCCTGAAACAGCTGGTGTGGGAAAAGGTTGGGCAATGAACACAGCCAGCCTGTTCCCTGCTCCTGTGGAGCACAGCTAGCTGCCTTCCTTCTTACCCCTGCAGTGAGGAGCAGGATGTTGTGCCTCCATGAACTTCAATGGGAGGACAACTTCAGAAACTCTGAATTCACTGCAATTGTCAGCTGGCAGGAAGGACAGAGATGAGACACTGCTGTACATCCTGCTGTGTTCCAGGGAGAACCACCATACTCTTGGGAACTGGAGTATTTGGAGTGAAATGAAGTCTGTGCATTTGATCGGAACAAAAATGAAATTATTTTGGAACCAAATGTGAGAAATATGCTGCCTCTGTAGACTCCTCTGTTAAAAAACTCAATAGTAATAATAATACAAAAAAAAATTTGATAATGCATACAGACAATTAATTTATGGTCTGTCCTGGGGTGACCATATCTCTTGTTTTGAACATTGTTCCAGTGATTCTACCATTTAAATGTGATAATGTGTCAAATGTGATAAGGAGGATCATCAGGGTATCTTGGTATTCTTATTTATTTGTATCATGGTAAGGGCAAGAGATCTGAGAACAGAGAACAGTCACCACAGCATACAGTATAATCCTTGCACTGAACAGTTTGTGGTCTGAGCAGGTGAAAGACTCAAGACTGGAGAAGGCTTTCATTTTGTGCAGGTGAAACAGAGCCTCTGCCACAAATCTGGGGTTTCCCAGCGTCTGTGGAGTTTATATTGCACCCTGGAAAGACTCAGAGGTATGTGTTCAGTTATGCAGGAAGCTCTCTAGCACTGAAAGCAATAAGAACTGCGTCACAATAAATTATTATCCTTGTTTCCCTGAGCTGCTCAAGGATGCAAAGGGCAAAGTTAGAAATCAAATTAGGATCTATCAGATGATTTAGCCATAAGACTGACAAGCGCAGAAACCTGATTTCCTCTCTGGGGTTCAGCTAACACCTCTGTGACTGTGCATTCTGAAAAATGCCTTACAGAAATACAGGGCTTCTATGTTAGCTGTGTTGAGTACTCACTCCTGACTGGTTAGCCATGTCAGCATGGACATCAGCAAGGACAGCATTTCACTCTTCTTGCTGACTTTGTCTGCAGTTCAAAACTAGATGTGTATCTGAGCTGCTAATGTGACACACGTCTGCCACAGTGACTTCAGCAGAGAGACTCTAAGAGCTAAATGACAATCTGAGAGAAAAGTGATACTGTGAAGAAAAACCAGTAAAAGTCCTGAGGAAAGTCCTTCACACCTAAGATTAAATGACGTATTGTCTATGTCAACTGAACTGGTGCAATCAGAAAAAAGCTATAACATAATGAAGAGAATTATTCTCTAGTATTCAGAAGAAAAAAAGAAATCAATATCGGAAAAAAGCCAGTTGTAAAATCTAAAAGCTTAACAATTAGTTCTTTAATATATGATCTTTTGAAGTGCCAAAAAAAGCTATTTTAAGCTACACTTTTTTGAGTTTTTTTACTCGATATAGACTGCTTAATTGTATAGAAGCTATCATGTAAAGCTAAAAGACTGCATTAAATAAACTCCATTCCTTTTCAAGTCCAACATCAAGTCTTATAAATTTGAAGTACTCTATTTTCATAACAGATCCCGTATATCGCAGCATTGTACACAAGCCTAAACATAGCTGTTCTATTGAGCTTGAAATCAATGAGGGCACTGCACTGTAAACAAAGGAACAATTTGCCCCAGTGAGCACAATTAAGTTTGTTTCAGTCTAGGATGTGAACTGTAGTCTGCATGAAAATCTTCTCACAGAGCTTCAAACCACAGTACATCTGTTTCTCTCACCTAGCTTGCATGGTTCCAAATGGCAAAGTATTAGCTAAAAAACAAGCAAGGAAATTTTTAATACATTATGCTTCTATGCTTCTATAAAATAATAAAGCTAAAAACTTTTTTTACCAAATTGATATCTAGCTATTGACCTACCATATGTGATAATGACTAAAATTTAAATAGAGAATATTATTTTAGGTCTTTGCATGTGAATATGTAAGAAATCTACTGCATTGAAGATGGAGTTTTTGTCATACAATTCAAAAAATATATCAATAATAACTTTGAATATAACTGTGCATACAGGAAGAATACAGCAGGATCAATACACATAGTCCCAAACACCACTCTCATTTTGATTCTTAAAATCTTCCCTTCCTTGACATATAAGTGATATACAGAAAATCCTGGGTTGCCTATGGGATTTTTTTTTCAGTAATCCTTATGAGTTTCAGAGGATCAAGGTTGTATCCATATGTTCTTGAAATTCTCCCTGCAGTGTTTTTTTTTGCAGCCATAAGTGGAAAATGAATTGCAATGGATTTTATAGGAGCATGTGGGTTAAAACTGGCTGAAAGACTATAAACAAAAGATTATGAGAGTGACTAGGGGAAAAATATCTAGTAGGGTAATGAAGGGTGCAGATTCGGGATTGCTCCTATTTAACATCTTCATTAGCAATCTGGAAGAAAGAATAAACAGCATGTTAATGAAATGCACAAATACTAAATTAGGAGGAGTCACAAATACTATTGAGGACAGAAACATAATCCAAAGGCCCTAGGGAGAAATGTGGCAGGAAATAACAAAGCAAGCCACTACTCACAAAAAGCATACTAATGCATTAAATCTAGTGCAGTGTGAATCAATGAGGGAAAAACCACAGAAGCAGTAACACTGGAAGAGATTCTGGGAGCAACGTATTAGATATGCGGTGCAATGTGACATGCTGGCAATAAAAGCCGATATATTCAGTGCCACATATGCAAAAGCAGAAAGTCATGGATCAAAGAGGCTGTAGCTTCTCTAAATGTTTCTCTACTAACAGAAAATGGAATCTTGATACTGAAGAAGAATCCCTAAGTCAGCATAGCTATGCTCAGTTGAAATATTAAGTGTTTTGGTTAGAAAAATTCTGCAAGAAAGAACAGGGAAGAAGTGATATATAAATTTGTAGAAAGACTCTGATGAGATGAAGTTGAACATGGGTTAATGACAGGAAAAGTAACTGGCTATGCTCTAAAAAGTTTTTTTAACTTTTTTTTCAGATCAATCAAATTTTCTTCTGTAATGAAAGCTAGCAGATGACAAGCTGGCACATAACTTGCAAAAGAAAAATGATGCACGCTTTCCTATTGGTAAAATATTTTTTCCCCACCCATCACCTACATATAAATTGAACAAAAGGAATCTATTATGAAAAAATTGGGATCAATACAGTTCCTCATGCTGCACTAAATTTATACCTAGTATCACCAGAAAATTGCTTGGTTCATTTGTTTTTGGGGTTTGTTTTTTTTTTGTGACATAAGTAGGCCTCTCAGAAAGGAAGAAAAAGAGAAAATAAAGTTTATCATCAGTGTTTGGTGAGTTTTTTAACAGGACCAAATCTGTATGTTGCATAAGTAGACATTTTCTTTTGAACAAGCAAAAGGTCCTTGTTTTTTTGCAAGATGAAGGGATGCAAAGAAAAAGAACAAAATACAAAAACCAACAATAAAACTAGTTGTGCCATTAATCTAATCCATGCTGCATTTGTGTTTTTGACACTGCATGCATTGTAGCTCTATCATACTTTTCTGCAGTTCACCCAGAATCTAGTAAAATGGTAACTGAGTATACGCTGTTAAATCATACAGTAAACAGTACAATGACAATGAAACCATAACTGATTAAAAGTCCTTGACCCTGGGAGTGATGCTGCTTCTACAAAAGGAGAAATTGAATTGATTAATATTGTTGAGTTTGTGAAAAATCCTTTTTGTTCTCACAATAAAAGTATGCAAGGGTAGAAAATGAAAGATCAGCCAGCTGGTGTAAACCAGAGAAAAGTGTTATTCCACAGTATGTGTAATTAAGCCTCAGAACTCTGAACTCAAGAGGATGGTGCAAAAAGAGGTCAAAGAGATCATGAAAGATACAGGTATGGAAGGGCACTGAGAAGAAAATTTCACATGCAACCTGTTGCTCTGAAAGTCCCTAGACTTCAATTTACTAGAGTTATGCATTAAAACCGTAGGGGTCACTCTGTGCATTCTCACTGTCTTGTGCTGTTGCATATGTTCTACCCACACACCAGATATGCTATAGGCCCTCTACTATTAAGTTGACCTAAGAAAGAGTTTTTTAAGCTAGAAGTTATTATTAAGCAATAATAATCACAATGAAATACCCTATGAAGGCACTTGTTGAAAAAAACAAGCGCAATAGCAGGAAATTTTGAAAGTGTACACATGCACACACACAACAACTTTTGGGAACCCCAACCAGAACTGGGAGTTATGAATACTTTTTGGAGGAAGAGCAATGTTAATTGGGTGCTATCTTACAAACTCCTGTTTTGCCATCAGGACCTGCATTAGGGTGCAAACACTAAGGTCTCTGAACAACTAAGAAACAATTTTGTGTTTGAAAAATAATCTAAATGCCAAAGTACCTAAAAAATTTAGTCTTCAGGGACTTCTCTCCACAAGCAGAAATGTATATGTATATTGTATAAGATTAGTAATAAAATGTTGTGGTTAATAAAACACTTTTGGGAGTTTTAAGAGGATTGTATAGTGACACATTTGCTCAGTACACACTAGGTCTAATCCAGGGCAAAATCAAGCTTGTTTAAAAAGATAATGTGGAGCTGGGTTGTAGCAAGCCTTAAGTGGTGGGAAGGGCCTTGCTCAGAAAAGCTAAAATCCAGCAGATGCTCTTGGGTGTGCATGACTGCTTCTATAACTTGCTGTGGGTTTGCTAGATTTATACATCTGTCTAGCTTCCTTATGGTAGATAGAAGGGAATGTGCCTCTCACACTGCATCAGAGAAAAAACACAACATTATATCTGAGGAGTGTTAGACCCACTTGCTCAGCTCTTCTTTTCCAATCTCCAACACCCCACAGATGTTGAAAGCTTTATTAAAACTGTTAGGGTTTTTTTTGTGGGTTAAATGTACATTTCAGTTCTCTTTGCCAGGTGAGGAGAATAATTTTAGGTTTAGAGGTTTTTATAAGTAAAGCAATAGCAAATATCTAAAATATCATAAATATATTTATGCACAACATATAGTATATGCTAAGTATGAACCCAGAGGGAAGATTAACAAAGATGTCATAAATTGCAGACTCTATCCTATTAATAATAGGTTAGAGATATTACTGGGGCATTAAATAGTTTATTTAATTATTAAACCTATTTGGATTGACAAGACTTTTGACATAATGTAATGTATCTAATGCGATGTAAAAATGTATACATATAATATCTGGTTTCTATGAGAGGGTGAAGTTTTCTTCTTTTATGTGGATTCTGCTAACTCAGTTGAATTACTTGTTCATAATATATTCAGAATGTATTTAGCTAGAGACCTGTGTAATTACATTTATTACTTCTGTAAAGGCTGAAGAAGAATATGTAGGATAAGAATATGTAGCAATTTTTTAATCACATTTACTGCAGCCTTTTGTGGAGATATATCCCTACCTGCACAGATGTTTCTTGAAAAATACTGGTCCTTAGTCGGTGTATTTCAGGCTGCAAGTATATGACAGTGCCCTATTTTTATAGGAGGATCCACTCAGTTTGATTTTCATTCCAGAAAAACAGCCTTATTACCTCTGGTTGTGGGCTGGCACTTGTTACAAAGACCTACCAATAGAGAAAGGAGACAGAAAATTAAAAATGTGTGTAATTGAAGTCACAGACAGGCATATTTGGGCAACAGAAGATGCTAATTCATATGTGTAAAAGTTCACCTGTTAAGTAAAACCAAATAATATTAAACACTTTTGCTTATGAAAAAGGATATTTGTATCAAATTCCTTCCAACAACTGATCAGCTTTAAAAATTCATTGAAAGTTTATTAAAAAGTTGCCTCACATAGACAATTGTGCTTTTCATGATAAAACATTTCAGCTTGGTAATTTTCTACAATTTTGTGTCTGAAAGCCATTGCTTTTGTCTCCTTTCCAGTTCTTCTGCTCCAAATGACTGATTACCCTTTCTGGGCATCATCTGGCTCCAGCTGGTTCCTCTGGAAGAGGAGGAGCAGGATGCTGGTTCTTGTCTTCAGAAGGGCAAGGCAAGCCTGGCAGACTGGTAGGTAATGGTGATGGGAATGGAGAACTAGGATAACTTCTCTGCTTTCTGTCCTGCAGTACTTACCTTGTTCGTGGTTGATAGACAGGTCCAACACATGACTTGACTAAAAAGAAGCTCTCTAATATAGAGATTATTTTTTTTCTCTGTGGCTGAGATTGCTGCAACACACAGGCTCCTTAGCTTAAGCCAAATTATTAATACAGCAATAAAGAATATTTTGCAGTTACCAGTTATTTTAATCTTTTTCTGTACTTAATTTTGGCCAACAAGTCTTGGCACGAGCCATGAGCTGTAGATCATAGTAGGTTTCTCAGCTCCCTGAAATGTTAAAGAATTATGCCAAAATTAGATGAATGCTTCTTTATTGCATCCCCATGTCCTTTTCCACTCAAGTAAGGGGCAGAAGATGGGTACACTTACATACTCTGTATTTGTCACTGGGTTCTGATTATTGCAGTAGAGTATACCATTTTAACCATAACAGCAGCCACACTTTTTGATATAATAAATATATCTATAATGCACTGGAGCAAATCTATGCTAAACTTAATAAGTAAATGGAAAGATAAAACACTTAAAAATAAGGGGGAATTGACACTAGAGGAAAGGCAACCAAATTCTTGCTGTATTAGCAGCATGTCGATTTTTCTTCTGACACTTAATGTTTTGCTATGATTTCCTGGCATTCAGCACAGCTCCCCAGAGTATCCCAAGTGTAATGCTCGATACTTACCAGGTCAGATCCAAATGATGCTGAAGTGTCATGACTTGTATGTGGATTTATAGGTCTGTTAAGCTGTCAGTGTAATTATCATTATCTATGTAAATAATTTTAACCTGCTTGAGGAATTAATGTTTCATAATATAATTTTTACTTACTGTGGTGGTTTTTTTTTACATTGCCACAGTTGTACAAAGTGGCCATATGTCCATGATAATATCATGTTTTGTGCTTTGCACTGAAACTGAATTTTTGTATTAAGCTTTACAGTAGCAGAAGACTCAAGACTTCATTATTTTAAGGCTCAATACAGTAGTTGGACATTACTATATATGCCCTTGGTAAACACATATCCAGTACCCTTTATTGTCCTTGGGAATTATGCATAGTTGTGAATGTGAGGACTGATAAGCACAAGTGTTAGAAACACATTATCTTGAAGTTTTGCATATGTTTTGGAAATTTATACTCTAGGGCACGTGTGAAATAATGGATTTGTTTTTGATAGCTTATCAATAAAAATAAAGTAGTCCATACCATAGATAAAGAATTAATAGTTTTCAAGCATTCTAGTACGTCTGAAGTGATGATACGAGAATGTCTTGGAATTATTAAACCTCCCTGCCAGAAAGTTGACACAGTAAAGTGTTCAGATAACAGCTTCCTATAGCAACATGTTGAAAGTGTATAAGTAAAGAAACATATGCATGTTTCTATTCCAGTGGTGGAAAAGAAATATATAATATTGATAAAGCGTATGTACATTACCAATCTGCAGGAAAATTATTCTACCAGTTGCCAATCTTCAGAGCTGTAAGAAAACATAAATCACTCTTCTGAATTACATCTAGGCATGCGTAGTATTTATTGAGGTTTAGTCAACATTTAGCAAAAACAAAAAGTTCAACAAGCTGTCTGTTTGCAATGATCAGGATTCTTATTTCATGACAGCTGAGTCCGAGTCTGCAAAAGACTCAACTTTGGCTCATTTAGAGGGCAGTGCTGAAGCAGACATTGCACTAGCTTCAGAGAATATAAGCAGATGCTTTAAAATTAGCACATCTGAGCACTGACCAGCTTATCATATTTCCTCTAAAAAGATGTTAAATATTTTAAATCTATTAAGTGATGTAACTTCACTGTAATCTATTTCCCATTTTGTGTATATAGTTTAATAAAATGTAATACAGTGCATACATACAGTTAAAGAAACTGACATGATTTTTTAATATTATACTGAATTAAACAATATTACATTATTAGCAAGAAGTTTAGTTTACCATCTTGCATAGAAATTGTAATGTGAGCAACCATATGATACTATGAAATATCAAAGGACATAAGAATTCATTCTTGTATGTGTGCATAAAAAATTAGCTTCCTTGTTATATATACCTAGAGATCATAGAAAAAAAAATTATCTCTCCAGAAAAAAACTTGCTTTTCTTTCACTTGTACGAATTTGGAGTTCAGTTTACAAATACATAATTTTCTAGAAGATAGTGTATATACCCACTCTTTCTAATGCTCTAGTATTACTAAAGGCAGTCATTATCAAGACAGAGAGACAACCTCTGTTTGTTAATGTAAATTAGGTAAACATCCCACTTATCCTTTTTGAAATAAATAATGTAAAACAAGCACTTAGGAAGAGTCCTCTGGGTAACATCCCCTCCTACAACTCAGTTGATCAAATCCTTTTTTCTAGTAGGAAAAAGCATATTTCAGTGGTTTAATTAAGAATTACCTATATATTAGGGTACAGTCTTCAAATAAGTATGCAGAAAGTTGGAACTAGAAGATTTTTAATGTCTCTTCCAATCCAAACAATTCTGGGATCTATTCTATGATCTAAACACATTAAGAAATTGTCAAATACATAATCCAAAAGTTGTTTTGGTTTTTTGGGTTTTTTTTACAAAGAGCCCAAAAGAAAAATAAAAAAGAGCTGCTCATGCACAAAATCCCCACAATTTCTGTGTTTGTGATGGTGACCAAGGAATCTGTGAAATATAATCAGATAAATATTAATGTTATTAAATGAAAGTACAATATGGATAATTTGCACTAAAAAGAAACACAGAAAAATAAAAACATGAAGAAAAAAAAGAGACATTAACACAGGCTATTAATAGTGCTTTTTAACTACTTTTGGTACTTGCTAAGCCTCAGCTCCCACAAACAATTCTGTCAGTAAACGTAATATTATAGAGTCCTGTAAGCTGACAGACAGTTTTGCTCACTAGAATTATTCCTGTGAATACATGTAAGCTGGATGAAGAGGACCCAAGCTCTACTGAAACCAGTAAGAAGACTCTTACTGACTGCAAAATTTCTATGGAAAGTGAATTAGAAAATCTTCCATATGAAATAATTAATATAATAAACATGAAGTAGAGCAGATTGAATTATCTGTAGCACAACCCTGTAGAGAATTAAAATTCTTTAGAGATAACTTCCAATGGTGGGATCCTTAAAGCAAAACTTTCAGCTCCTGACATCAAATCTATTTAATAGGAAATGGCACAACAAGGTATCACATGATAGCATCTAATGTATTACAATAGGAATTGAATTAAATGGTGATTAATTAATTACAAGCATAACAGATAATAGCAGTCTCTTTAATCAGAAGTGATTACATTATAAAAAGATCAAATAACATGGTAAAGATATGTATTTGAATAAATACTATCAGCTAACATGCACCATTTAATTTATCTGCTGAGTAGAGGACCACAAAGTGTCTGATGAAGTATCCTTTCCTTTTTGCATTGGAGAAATAAGATAAAATGAGTTTAAAGGGGCATAAGCTGAACATCTAAATTTCTTCATAGTTATGCTTTTCCCCAGTTACTCTCATCTTTTACAAGTTATGTTAGAGTACAAAACCCTCTTTTTTAGGCTGAAGGCATGTTTTTTGGTTTTAAGTTGTAATTCAAATTTCTTTTGCGCAATTTGAACAGAGAAAAACAATTGGTTCTTTTTTTTTTTTTGAAAGCCCATCTTTTACTAAGATTTGGAATACAATAAATACTGGAAGTCGTATTTGTAATGACAATTTTCATAGGAGAAGAGAACCCCAAGTGACGGGATTTAATTTTGAATTTCCAGGTTTTTAAAGATAATTAACATTTATTTGTTTGTTGTATTCCTTTCCCCTACATGGATTTATAAAATTCATTTGGTTGAAAAATCATAAAACACTGTATCATTTCTGTTTTAGGTCATTCTCAGGACCTTACAATCATAGATATTTTCTTGTCTTAGCAGTTCAGCCTAATTATTGACTTTGGTGCAAGAGTTCTTCTAGAACTTTGCCCCAGATGATTATTTATAAGAAATTAGGATGACTTCAAACCATTACAAATTTCAGAATAGCAGGACTGAGTAAATCCTTAATCTTCCTAAATCATCTTTTCTTAAAATGTTCTGTATAATTGCATACACATTTTCAACCTATAATGATTTGGTGTCTTTAAACAGGCACAGATTGCACATTCCAGGAGAAACATCTAAAATCACATTTGAAAAATTTAGGTCAGTGTATAATTAGAGCCCAAAGTTACCCAAAAGTATCAAATTTGAGCTGTGTAATGTTAGACACATGCCTTGACAGTATGGCTACATTCAGTGTCAGTTTGAAATTTCAAATGCATACCTATGAAAATAGAAGGGAAAATAAACTCCTAAAAATCACAGGAGACCTTCTTCTTTTTTTTTTTTTTCTTTTTTTTTTTTTTTTTGTTTGTTTTGTTTTGTTTTCGTTTTCTTTTGGTTTTGTTTTTTTCTTTTTGTGCATCAACAGCAAAGAGCTTTAACCAAATATAGTAAATTTTGTGATCCTGGTACTTTCATGCCAAAGTACAAACTTGTCATAGTACCCTCCAAGTGTGAAACTGTAACTGAGAAACTAAAAAGTGGGGTACTTCGCTACTCATGTTTCTATTTAGAATTCACAGCACAAAGTATAAAACCAAAAAATTGTGAACAAAATCTCTGTCAGTCCCTGGAGATATATACACTGTTTCTTTGACTGGAGAAGGACTGCTACAGCATTGGTTTGTCCTATTACCACCCCTAAAACCCAGGGGCTTTGGAATTGTCTTGTCTGGAAGACAGAGATCATCAAAAAATGGCTTTGGTTTGACAGTCTACCTATTCAGCCATCTTACTCTTGTGACCATGCCTCGAGTGCATGCTCCTTGCATATAGTTAGAAAAACCTGACAGCTTAAATTCTTATTTTAATCCTACTTGGGGTTTCTATGAAGACCTAAGGCACTGCTGCCAACTTGGCCTAATAGACATACTGCTAATCTGCACCCTGAGAGGTGTAATTTCTATTTCCTTTGTCACAAGATGGGAAAAATTTATGTTTCAGATCCTGTTTTTGGAGAACGAAAGGCATTGGAACTTATTTACTCCTCAAACCACTGCAAATTTATCAGTAGGTGTAAAAGAAAATGTTCTGTGACAGGAATAGTATGTGTTTCCTATAGATAGCTGTATTTGAGTGGTGTTAGTTTTGTCTAATAAGAAGCAAATGACAAAAGAAGTTTTATCTTAGATGCAGCTATAACATCTCTCCTGGGTGCAAATCAAATTAGGGTTTAATTCATACTTTGTCTTTTCCTTAACGTGGGCACCAAGAATCCCTCTCCACTATGCAATTTCTCAGTATCTACACCTTTGGTAGAAGTGAGTCATCCATAGTGCATCTTCCCCTCTGGGAAAAAGTGTTAAATATGGCCAACTCATTTAAAACCTTCTGGAAGGACTCACGTAAACATATGCACTTGGTGTAGGGTCACAGAAGTCTCAATTCTTAAGAAACTGGGCAAAAAAATACAGAGAAAACACCATCCCTGATACATAGCCATTAAATCTAAGATCCAGAATGGTCCTACAAGCCAGGTTATACCATTTTACTGTAAATTTTATGCTGGCATTCACTGCCTTAACAAAAAGACAACCCATAGTCTCCAGTCCACTTTAAATCCATGTATTACACTGCTGTGTCAGTGTAACACATTTCAGCCATCTTTCTTTCTTGACATCCCAATTCCTTTAGAAAGAAAGCCTTTTACAACTTAGGAGCACTCAAAAAAATGGCCTCTGAACCTGAAGTGTAAGATGAGGTGACGGGTCATCTGCTAGGCTTCCAAAGTGAGCAGCCACAGTAAGAAAAGTTTCCCCTGGTAAAATGCTTTAGATAAAAAAAAATAGGGCAGCTTTTTGGTCAGACATGCTGGCATTGTCCTGGGAAGGGTAAGAGGAATCTCCTGCGTTAGGTAAGCTATCTCTTCAGTAGTTCCATCCTGGTGGATAGCAGTGACCTCTGGCTATCTGCACAAGCACTCTGCTGATAGCATTACTGAAGAGGTTTCTGATTTATTGAGAGCTCATCTTTACATGACCCTTGTATGCTCCGGAAACACTCCCCACTGAATTTACTTCTGCAGTGAGTTTACATATATACTCCCACATATATGTGAAGGTGTATCTTGTATCACAAAAATGCATATGTATATTACCAGCACAAAAGCAATTGTCTTTTAAGTGTTGTTCCATTCCCCCCAGAAACCTGAGTGTTCTACAGAAAACCTTCCTAGGACACTTTTGACTTCAGATATGATGCAAAAGTCTGTTTGATACATATTTGAGGATTTTCCCTTAGCATGGATCATAATACTGACTTCTCAAATAAAATCAACTTTAAGAGGAATTACTAGATGAAAAGTGGTTCCCTCTGTGTCCAGATTGTGCTTAGGAAAAGTGAATTATTTAATTATAAATATATTACATTACC